TGTGCTGCCGGTGATTACAGCCGGAACATCGAGCCACATTTCCCCCTGCAGGAGGGAAACTGCCGAGGAGGCCTTTGAGCGAGGCTGAGCGGGCCACTTCAGTGCAGACAGAATTGGATTGAGCGCCCACTCACTCACACACACACACACACACACACTCTTCCCTCCTCTCTCTCTCTCTCCTCATCACCTCTGGAGTGTTAAAGAGCGTCAGAGTGCAAGAAGCCACCATCAAGATCTCATCAAGGATCCAATCAGCGCGTGAATGCGAAATGCACTCTCCTCCTGCTATGTGATGATGGGGACAAGACGCATCGAGGGCCCGTCTGGAGCGAGAACCTCTGCATATGCAAAGTGAACTTAAATTTTAAATGGATTCGATGTTCACTAGAGTATCTCTGACCCTTTTCGGGGATGCTGTAACCGACTCGGAGGAGAAGAATATGTGCAGATTAGCCCATTAATATTTATAGATGCAGCCGGTGGAGTTGTGCGGCGCAGAGCTTTTTGTGCCCGCTGTAATGCAGACCACGTTTAGGCCTAATCCAGGTGGGCGCTGTTACTGCCTCTAACAGGGAAATGGCCGGCCATTTTAGGAGGAAGCTGGATATCCTAATAATCAGGTAAACTAATACCGGGCGGCGAGAGTGTTTCCTTCCGGAGCTCTTGGCACGTCAGTCATTCACAGAATTGCTCCTGTCTGCTTCTGCGATTCATTTTAACTCAGTGGAACGTGCGCTCCCTCCCCCCACACGTGCATTTGAAGAGGACCACACGGGCCCCTTTGGATAGCCTCTATATCCACAAGGAGGCTCCCCAACCATCATTGGGACCAACCAGATGCTCCAACACACACACACACACACACACACACCTCCTGCTTCTCAAATCCGGACAAAGCGTTCCTCAGTCCAAAGTGGTTAAACTGTCATTTCAAATCGTCTGGACGTCGTGATTACCGGCATGGGAGGAATTATATATTTAGCTTTATGTCCGTCGCCATTTCCTCCCCCCGCCCTGATCTGAAGTGACTAGCCAGTAGTGCCCTCGATATTACTATCTCTGAGGAGTTTAAACCTTCCCCCAGGAGACAAGTGTAATCAAGGGCTGCCAGCAAGAGAGCGGGAGAACGAGGGAGGGAGGGAGGAGGATGAGAGGCGTGGGGTGGGTGGCGTTGGAGACCTGTAGTGGCGAGATGGTGGAGGGAATGACAATGGACCCAATTTACAAACATAGGTCATTTACATGCTTCAAAAAAAAACTTGAGGAACTACTGAACCAGTTGTTACGCAAAGAAAAATCTGTTTTTATAATATTTAACTTTATAGTATATCACAGTATATCTGGACTGTAATGTATTTATGCTGATACATTCATTTACTGCAGGTTCAAATGACTTTGAGATAATTTCCTATCGTTTACAATGTTGAAATGATTTTCAGGCCTTATATTTCTATCAAGCAATTTTCTTCACTTGCTGAGGCCAAAATTCAAATATTTCTTACAATGAAACACTTTTTTTAAAAATCTGCTATTGCTTAAATGTTTTTCAACTGTTTCAAATACACATTGGACTTGAAACAAGACAGAAGAAAGCAGAAGGCTGCTCCAGAACAAAAAAAACCCACGCTTCTTCAATCTCTTGCTTTACATTCATTTGTCCTGGAATATCTCCGTACACCCACAGATTTATTGATCAGTTGTTTCCCAGAAAAGATTCAGATTTTCAGATCCATTAATAGACCAAAAAAATTACTCGGCTCTTGCAGTGCAGTAGCCACTTCAAGAACATGTCGCTCCCATGTGCTGCAGCTCAACAAGACCAAACTAACGGTGCTCAAATAATGAGGCGTGCAGGCTGTTGATGTCAGGAAAAGCATGCGTGTGCACGTACATAGACACGCTGTTGTTTTGGACATCGTTCATGACATGTCCACATATCAGCACCCCCACCCGAACCTCAACCTCCAGCCTGCAGCATCTCATCCATCCTGAGTCATTCATCCTCAGCAACGTCACCGTTCATGAGTACAAGTGACCGTTAGGAAGGCAGCGGCCAACGGATTGGACAGGAAGCCTGTTAATCTGCAATCCAATCCGGTCCGAGTCGAGTGAAACGCGGCTCAGCTCGGCCAATCCAGGCCTTCACAGGAAGGAAGTGAAGGACTCAGGAAACAGTGTTCAGAGCTTTCACCAGTCATATCCATCACAGTGCACGGTGATGGAAGCATGTGTGTGTGTGTGTGTGTGTGTCTGTTTCACCAGTCATATCCATCATAGTGCACGGTGATAGAAGCATGTGTGTGTGTGTGGTTGTGTGTGTGTGTGTGTGTGTGTGTGTGTGTGTGTGTGTGTGTGTCCCTGTTTCACCAGTCATATCCATCACAGGGCTCTGTCTCCACGCCTGGGCAAAAGAACTGGAGAGTCATTAGAGGGGCTGGGCTGCAGAGCTGCACTTTAACTAAACATCTTTTCCATAAAATAAATGCTTCCAGGTTACTGTGGGTCCCAGAGAACCCAGGTTGCCTCGCTTCTGCTGCCACTCATCTGATCCCAATTACCGGACAGGCCGAGTCGGTGAGCGGGGAGTGCAGCTACAGACTGGAGTCGTGTGTTCAAACTCCAGAATTGACCCCACAACTCAAAGAGCAGCAACGTTTTTTTGGCTTTAATCGACACATCGTCACCCAGTGTTACAAGCCCGGCTCTGTAATTTAAGCCATAACACACACGTCTATAACAAGTATGGTTCTTGCATTTTTTTGTTTCAGCTGAAACTTAATGTTCAGTATGAGTGAGTATGTGCGGGTTAAGTGTTTGGGATTTAATGGAAGATGAAGCGGTTGTGGTGATCAAACCTGTGACTTATCTGCAGTGGAAATCTAACCACTAAGCCACCATGCCATTTATCTAGCTGCCAAGTTAAAGCATTTGACCTCTGAGTTCCATGAGCCTGTGTGACCTATTTCACTGTTTTTTCCACATATGATAATATTTACACTCATTAGCTCCAGCAAGCAGATTGTCTTTTCACTCCCGTTAGTTTTTTTGTTTGTTTGTTTGCCAGCAGGATGACGTAAATAGTACAGAATGGATTTCCACGAAACTTGGTGGAAGGTTTGACATTTTCACTGATTTCCCAGGGAATTATTAATTGATCTTGATGAAAAACATCAGACATAATTAAAGGACTGATTTCTGCCAGTGTGTGAGATTTGGTTGGCAAGGTAATTGAAAATGTGTCTCAGTGGGAATTACGTGTTTTTTTGTATTCATTGCAACAGTAGTGGCTGTGAAACTTGTTTTTTATAAAAACACATCATAACATGGTGTGTATCACTGTCATGTCATGGTTTGTAATGTCTTTAAATCCATGTACATGTATGTATTGAGTGATTCCTTTCTTCACATGCCATGATTGCATGTGATAGTTGTCATATGTTAGCATCACTTCTGTTGAATGCATATACTCTCAGTCTGACACGTTGTAGCTGCTCGCTGATTTTATTTTCATCGTGTCTGTTTGCTGTATGCAGATACAGACACACATCCACATCTGTGCATCTTACTTAATTGAACAATTGTTTCCTGATGCTGAGTTCATCCCTGGAACATGAATCACAGCATGATGAAACCACCTCTTTGGTCTTGGAGGCTGAAGTTGAGGCTGCACATGAGGGAGATCGGTGTTTAATTCTATGGCATTAACTCTCATTGTCTGTGTTGTGCGTATGGAGGCTGAGTTTCATAAGTTTTTCTCAGTTTGAATGGATGATGAGAATATTTCAAAGAGCTGAAAGAAGCAGTTGTCAGATTTTGAAAATGATCTTCAAGCAGAAGAAAGAAAAAGCTATATATATATACATACATATATATATATATATATATATATATATGTATATATTTAAAAAGAGAGTTGCTTAATATGAGAATTCCCTTTTATCTAATAGAAATGTTTTTTTGTTTGGATATATAATTTCCTTAGGACCCTTGTAGAAACCTTGTCCAGCTGCTGTCTCCAACGACACAGTGAGCCGTCATTAAAGAGAGGATGGCACCATCTAGTGAAATTATGATGTAGACAGGAAACCACACATTTTCCTCTTGGAATTAAAATCTTGTGGAAATGAATGAAAATATTGATTTTAAAAAAGCAGCTTTAAATTAGAAAATATGTTTTGGTAAAAAACTTTCTTGACAGGCTTCTTGTCGAACTACTTCTGCATCATAAACCACCTGTGTTTGTTTGTCCATCAGTATATTTGAAGTTTGGTATTTCCCTTGATTCTGACTTCTTGCAGTAATTCTTAGTGCTGTACACTTCACACCTTAAATGAACAACACCCTAATTTGTGATAATGGAAGTTACACATGACGGATTTAGGCTATCGAAACTTTTTCACTGAAAAAACTGCTGTGACTAGAAACAAGGCTGGAGGCAAAGGGGGAGACTGAAACATGACTGAAGTTCTTGGCCATAAAACAATTTGGTGAAAGATGCTGAAATGATCTGTAGAGCGAGGTAAAGTTGGATGATAATTATAAAGTAAAAAACTACCCATGATTTGTAATTTGTTGACTTTGTGCTATTGTTGACTTTGGAGTCAATCCCAGCTCACAGTTGGTTTCACCCGGGGGACGCTCAGGAGATTTTGTAGCGTGAGAGAAGGGGGGGTGGGGCTCACATGGGGTCAGCTGCAGTGAAGCACACAGACATTTTAACATTTCCTCTCTGACCAAGTGTGAAGGTTGATTTTACAGAATAGAATGTTGAATGAAAGAAAATCTGAGTGATTCATGAATTCTTTAACATGTATGGTGATTACCAGAGAACAGAAATAAAATGTTACTGGAATCAGCAGCTTCTCATGCCAGGAACACTGAGTCATTTCCCTTTTACTCTCACAGCTCGAGCTGTTGCTGCTTCTGTTGCAGTAACTGAGCCTAATTATGACCCTTCTCTTTCTCCTGCTCTGACACAGAACAGAAATTGAAACAACTTTTGTGAACTATCACATTTAATGGAGCCAGAGATACTGGACAGCAGATATCAGGGGTTTCATGAGCAGTGCGAACTGTAAAGGGATAATACAGGCACCCTTCAGTCGTAAGCCTACACCACCTGGTGCAGTTTCATTTGTTTTATAGACACATATCTGGTATCTGTGACCTTTGACCTCTGAACACTGTAATCTAACAATATAAAAAATCAACATTAATTGCATTTTCTATGTAACTTTGAATTCACATTTTGCAGCATATTTGGGCTTTGTAAAAAATCTCACCAGACAACAAGTACTAGAAAAATAAAGCTCTATATACAAACATTACAAGTGCATTGATGTCATAAAACAGTCTTAAACAGTTTGTGCTTCGAGCCTCAGCATCTCTCCTGTTCCACAAGCCTCCTTGAGCGAGTGGCAGTTTGCGGGAGAGGCCATAACCAGTACCCTGCAACCCCCCCTCTCACTCAGGAACCTCTTTAAGGACTCATCAAAAGTTTTGTTTTCTTCTCTGTACCCATCCAACAACAGGAGAGCCTCGCCGCTGGCCCTGGTCAACACTGTCCTCAGCTCGTTCTCTGTCGATTTGTTTATGAGCGAGCATTGAGTCATTATTTCTTGAATCAGGTGACCCTCCACAGCGCTGCAGTTGACATAAACGAGAAGTTGCAGGGTGCTGAGATCAAGGAGGTCTGTCCGTCCTTCAGTCCAAGAGGAGACCAGGATCTGGGCTATGGTCATCTTCCGGCTCTCTGGAGGTCCCTCGAGGAAAAGTGTCTCTCCAGCTTCTGGGATTAGAGCTTGAAGTTTCATGACCTGGCCCTCACTGAAAAAAAAACAAAAAAACTATAAACTACAAGCCTGAACAGTTCTCAAAATACAGACTTTAGCTTTGAATGTCAGCTGTTCAGGTTTTTCAGTTGGTAGAGGAGTATTTGTGACTCACCTGTTTTGCAGCCTGCGAGGCAGCTCCTCCACATTGAAATTGTCCCACAGGCATCTCCACTCTGTACTGAAGACGTCGGAATAATGTGCTTTCAGAAGCCCCACCAGATTTTCCTCCATGCCATCTGTACAAACCATAATTCTCTCCTCCTCGTGTTCTTTCTTTATTTGTAGGCCTGATGGAGAGAAAAAGTTTGTTAGAAAACAGAGAACATTCACATAACTAAACTTAATGCAAATGTATTTGAACTTTATGGAATGTACTCCATTTAATAGCTCGTTTCATATATAACAGATGGGTGCATCATTTATTGAATTGCTTTGGTTCAGTCAATCGAGCCCCATCAAGCTTTTTATAATGTCAAACTTTAACTGTGGCTCTTGTTTGATTTATTTCCAACTAAAAAGGAAGTGCAGTGATACAAGTTTTACCGGTTAATGTACAGTACAGTACATGTTTGTGTTCTACATGAACAACAGGACATTGGACATTTTGCATTGCTGATCAAACACATACAAAAGAGTATAATATCTGAGATGGTAAGAAAAAGCCAAGCACTCAAGGAATGTATGACAAAAAGAATAAAATGAATCACCATGGAGACAGTTGAGGATGAGCTCAACCTTCAACAGAAAACTATCTATTGCAGAAAATCTTTTGTCTTCATAGTTTCCACTTCTCACACCCTGAGGCTGTCTATGTTACTCTCAGCTCAGTCTTTGTAAAGGGAGCAATGAGCTATGGACGAGCAGTATAACATGTCTCATCCTCTCTCTGTCTCTGTTTTACCTTTAATACTGCTCCCATGAATCAAGAGGAATTCAACAGAGGTAATGCTGATAGTTAGCAGCCAACATGACTCATCAGTAATAATAAAAGAAGTTGTGTTTAGACTCACAGGCAGCAGCAGGACAGGGCCAATCCAGACCATCATACAGAAGGTTCCTGGTACTTAGAATTCTGGATCCTTCACAAAAATACATTTGACTATTAACTCAGCATGTGGGTACAGAATGTAGAGCAATGATAATGCAAGAGTGGAAGTCATTGTCTGTACATGTCTGTTTTAGCTCTGTATACTACATGATGTGCAGTAAATCATTAAACCAGCTTCATTGAAATGGGACTTAATCCTATCTTTAGAATGCATGTGTGGGGAAGTGATTCACATGAACTCATCTCTCTACGTGTTTGAGAGAATGCTGATGTAATGTATCATCTCTGTGTCATGATCTGTCCCTTCTGTGACTCTACACACAGACTTCAAGTTATATCCTGTTTTATTTTGGGAAATTCACCTTCAGCGTGTGGTTTTAGTTCCTGCTCGTGTGTTTTCCACCTTTGTGATTACCTGATCCTGGTTTGCATCATGTTTTGCATCTGCCTGCCAGTCAGGACCATCTGTGTCTCTTATTAAAATATCTGTCTCTACCTGCCTCGGTGTGAGTCTGTGTTTTTGTTCTGCAATCCTTGCACTGTAATACTACATATATGGGATCTTATGCTATTATGATGATAACATAAATAATGATTATAATGTTTGAATATTTGGTATATTTTAGTTCCTATACAACATTCTTGCCTGTAAGTCCATGTGCTATATGTATTTCCTTTTATCAACGTTGTTTCTTATAAAGGTTCACTCTTTTTCTAGTTTCTAGTATCCCACACATTTCCTGTCAAGTAACTGAGGGAAGACGTTTTCTTATTGTGTTCCTAAATCCATATATATATATAGAAACATGTGATTAAGTCTTCTATAGAAATGATGGAGGTGTTTTTTTGAGGGTTCTACAAACGTGCAACACTTGAAAACCACCCACGCATTTGCAAATAACCTTTGGTTCCCCTGACGCACACACAGGGTGTTCCTGTAGATTTTTTGGTTGTGACACACGTCGGATCCAAAAGATCAAAGTCATGTGCTGATAAAATTCCCTCAAAAGAAAAATGACACATCTTACGGTAGCCAATCAAACACATACTGTAAATACCCAGAAGCGTCATAAACACTTCCTCTTTTCAGTCTTTTCACTTAGATCAACATCCATCTACTGTGAAGGTTTCATATTTAATGCTGACTAAAGAATCCAGTGATACTGTAAGTCAAGGTGAAACTAAAGATACGTTTGCAGATCGGAATTTGACATTTAAGTTTTTTTATTAAAGTTGTGTTAAAAATAAATAATTGTGACACAAACAATGAGGAAATAATAAATAAGTCAAAGCAAAGCATGTCTCTAAATAACTGGATTCTCCACCTTTGTTTACTGAGTGTTACCACACCCGTAACTGTAGCCTGGCTCCAGCTCCTGTTGCAGTGGCCCAGAAGTATTTATCACTTGTATTGTATTTGTCACTATGTCACTTTTAAATTTCACTGTAGCTGTTTTGAGTTATGATGCATTGCTGTGCCTTGTGTGCATGTGCCAGGGGACAAGAACATTTTTATTCTGATTTAGATTTTCAATATTTTCCTCCTTTCTGCACCTGCGGTCTCTGTGTTGTTGACTTTAACTGATGTGCTTTACACATGAGGAACAGAATGAATCGTTACCTTTTCGTCGTCTGTACATGAGCACCACCACGATGATGACAGCCATTACAGCTCCTGTGCTCAATATAATCCAGAGAGCCTTGTTTTTCACCTGTGGATTACATACTTCATCTGTGGAAAGAGGAAAGAAGGGATCAAACCTGCATCAATAACCTACAGTTTCACATTTATAATTCAGCAAAGACAGAGCCAGTGTTCACCCTCAATCTGTATATACAGTCTATGGTTTGTCCATAGTGGAAACCACCAAACATGCAAACAACAACCATGACATACTTCCCTTCTGCTTCCCTCAAATAAATGCAGCTGTTAAAGTTTCTCGAGTTTTGCGGAATTGTTGTTTTGATTAGTTCTGCTACACCATGGTCTTTTTACTTTTATCCACTTCAGCTCTTATTTGATTCCAGGTGCAGTAAGCACTGAGAATACTTTATTTATTCAGAGTACCGAGGATAATACTTTTATATTTGCAATAAAGTCCAGAAGTGCAGCAGCCAATGGAGCTAAATAATCATTGGCACATACAGGAGGGCCTACAAGCCACATATTCACACAAACACCTCCTGCGTCAGACCTCACACTAAAGACACTCTACAACACAAACACCACCTACAGCTTTCCTTCTCATACGGGAAGCACTTTGTTCTTTGTAAGTGGGCTGATTGTAGACGTCTCTATCTGACAGAAAAATTGTAGGCCATGGAAACAGATGTAGTTTAGTGATACGTAAGCAAATGACGATGTATTTCCTATGCGAACCCACAACTGACAGCTTTTCACACAGTCACATTTGAACAATTCTTCTCCAGTGGCCGGGTCGTTGACTGGTTGGCATGCATAAAACCCAAAACTCCAAATAATGACACCAAAAGTAAAAGTTTGCTAACTTGGTATTTTTTCTTTTTTGCATTTTGTTTGGGCAGCAAACAGGAAATGAGGAGAGAAGGGTGATGATATGTCTTCATAAAAAGCCTTTAAGGAAACTTACCTGGAATCTGAAATATTGCGGAGGGACCATTTGCGAAGTCACATGTGTAGTTGTTTTTGTCCTGTGCACTGACACGTATTTGACTGGTGACTTTAAACAGCTGGTCTGCTGTTTGTACAGTGGTGGTGTTGTGTTTGAGTTCCTGCAGGCGTCCATCCTTCCACACCACAGACGTCTCAGGGTATCCCTCTGATTGACAGGTCAACAGCACATCATGCCCTTCTGCTGTCTTCTCTATGCATTTAGTCACTGATTTATACGGTGCTGGAGGAGAAGTACAGAATTAGACATCTTGCATAATATTGATGGAAAAGGGAAGATCTTGAGGAATGTTTAAACAAGCCCAAAAAACATTTTTGTTACCCAATTACATCTAAGTTTCATTTTCAGAGTGAGTGAAATTCTTAACTTCCCAGAAATGTCAATACACTGAGATCATTGCCAAAGAGCGTTCGTAGATATAAGCCCCTGAAGTCTTTAATTGACCAAAGTTACTGTTGCACTGCAGATGTGGTGCGTACCTACCTACAACAGAGAGAGTTATTGTTTTATAGTCGGCTTCTTCTGCCGTCTGCACCAAACACTGATACGTCCCGGAGTCGCTGATCTGGAGATTGGAGAGCTGTAAAGTGAGCAAAGAAGAAGAGTCCTGAATTATCTCAAAACGTTAAAGTCACAAACGGTTTAAATTCTGTTTTAAATATCGACAATTTTCTGAACAATTCTTCAATTAAACATTCATCAATGTAATTACACTACATAATCTACTTTTTATGGATCTGTCATTCATTCCGTCTTCAAGAAAAACAACAAGTCCAGTTGCTCATGTACAACATACTTTAATGACTGCATTACTTTGTGTTCTACACTAGAATGAGGAAGTTTGTGATGGTGTTCTGATAAATTTGGTGATTTCCATAGTGGTCAAACCATAGACTGTAATAAAGATGGACAACGTGACAGCTCCTGAAAATGTGAAGCTAAAGCATTTTGTTAGCCCCCTGGTAACTGACTGCAGTATAGAGCATAAACCCCCCACCTCCTCCTTTTGAACAGATGGGAAATGGACCAAGCTGAAAAGTCAAAGTATATGTGACATTCGTTTCTCTCAAAGATGGTTTCTGTGATTGTAGTTACTTCCAGGACTAATTTTTCTGGAACATCACGATTGACATCTGAGCCTGACGCCTGACTGGTTGAGACACGTTTATAACAGTCTGTGGTGCAGTTTCTGAAAATATCATGATATGGGTCTGTAAAGTGAAAGAGGCACCAAATCTTCACAACTGAAAGATAGCGCAGATATTATTTGCTGGAGAAATATGATACTTTTGGGCCACCCTACACTGCTACTCCACACAACAACAGGGGAAGTTTGACTCTCACATGAGTAATTCCTAAAGGATGAAAAGGCTCACGTATTATCTCTTAGGGAAATTTTACAGGAAACAACCCATCACAAATGAGTAATCACCTTTAGTCTGGCCCAGCCATTTCTCAGCTGCTCTTCGAAGAGGTTCACTCGGCCCTGATACTCTGCAGAGGAAGGCTGCGCCATGCCGTTATTCATCTGGTACACTTCCCGGTTACTACCAGGTTTGATCCAGTGCCAGGTCACCTTCAGGTCTGTGTTGGGATGTGACGGTCTCGGCTGAAACCTGCAGCCCATCACGACATCTCCTCCGTATTCCGACTTGTACGTGTTTTGCTCTGCCTCCACAGTGAACAGCACTGCATGGAAGCAATAAAAAGATGAATGCAGAGTTTAGGTTTAACAAGTTTCATGTAGATTCAATTGGGCCTTTAATTACATTTCAGTTGTTGTACACACCTGAGAGAGATGGCTGAACCATGACTTGCAAAATTACAAACAGGACCCAGTCCATTGAGACCTAAAGAAAACACACATGTTGACCTCAGGTTACTTACAACATGAGTCATTTTACTAAAGAGGACATGATTCAGTAAATTTCTTCTAGTTTAGCTCTTAACTCTGAACAATCACGAGGAACAAAACACATGCTTTGCTTATCTAAGCATGACTCTACAGAAGGCATAAAAATAACTTCCTTTTTTCTTCATGCTTAAATAAGAAACAAAAACAGCACAAGGATGCTGCAGTTTGACTCTGTGTGTGGAACAGTCACACTGACATTAGCATGAATGTTCATGTTTAGTTATTCCGTCAGGACAATGCTCTTCCCATACATACAAGTAAAGCTTTAAATAAACACACAGTTTGACTTGTTTATTGAGTGAAATGCTGATGTGAATAGCACAAGACTATTTATTTTCCTTTCAAATGGAGCTAAAGCTGTAGACTGTATAAAATATAAAGATATATAAATATTTTATATACAGTCTATTGCCGCAGCTCTGCACAACGTTGCATGCATTTGAATGGAGGTGAAGCTGTCTCTGACTAAGTTTGTTGAGCTGTTTTTCAGCACACTAAAGATAAAATTAACATAAAATAGTTTCATTGTATTTCTTTTAGTTTGTTGCACTTCACGTC